AATTGAGATATCCAAAAAAATGGAGATTCTTATAGTAACAAATTTGAAGATTCTTATACCAAGATTTAATTCATTTTAAATATTAATCCCATAGGAATCCATATTTATTGATAACAAATTTGACGATTTTTATGCCAAAAAATTAAGATTTTGAATTGAGATATCACAACAAGTACGGATTTTTTTCCATTCAAATTAATATTTTAAATCAAACAAAAAATATTCCGAGAATATAAATATTAATAAACTCCAATCCTTCTTAAATTATTCATATTTATGAATTTTATGTGTAAATAACTAAATATATTGATTTATTTTTGTAAATCTAGTACTATATAAAAGAGAGAGAGGGACTTACTTGGCATAGTATTGAAATTTCCGTTTAAAAATTTCAAAGTTACTATTCTTAGTATTTTTTTTTTCGTGAAATGGCGGCTAAATGAAAATTAAAATTTAATTTCAAAAAATTTGTTATTTGAGAAACATATTGTGTAAACCTTAGTTCCTAATGACATGGTCATAATATTGACCCTAGAGAGGTGTTACCTTAATTGTAGGAAATCAAATGAGTATCTTCTTTGATTTCATTCACAATATTATTGGTAGAGTTAATATAAAAAATATTTTGCATATATAATAATAATAATAATAATAATAATAATAATAATAATAATAATAATAATATCGATAATTTGCATATGATTTTTGATATATTATACTAAACCTACTGGATAAGTAATTATTAATCAATTTTTTTTAATAGGTTTTCATATGCGTAATGTCAATATTTATTTAGCATATTTAAAATTTATTTATGGGATGTGCATATTTGATGTTTAATGCATATAATAATTAATTTATTGCTATTAGTAGCATATATAACTAAATACGGTAAAAAATTATAGATAATTTTTGTTTTAAATTTTAAATTGCAATTTATAATTGAATGATTTTTGTAAAACTAAATAAATTCACCTATACAATCGATGAAACAAATTTTTTGAATAAATCACACAGGTGTCCATATTTATTTAACTTTAACACCTTATTACAGTTTGGAAAGAATCCAAATTGCAGTTTGGAAAGAATTTAAATTTGTAGGGACTTTATAAAATTATTCTTTAGATAATATTTTGAAAATCCCGACTTAAATTGATTCCTTAAAAAATTCACACGAAAACACTTCATTTTTATAATTTATTTTTTCTATTATTTTTTGTACATTAACAATTTTAAGTTGTTAATTTATTTAAAAAGATAAAACACAATATCTCAAGGATATTTTTTATCATAAATTTCAATACTCACATTCAGGGCTGTAAACGAGCCGAGCCGAGCTCGAGCTTAAGGTGTTTGAGCTCGAGCTCGAGCTTTTAACGAGCCAAGCCGAGCTCGGCTCGTTAAGTAAACGAGCCAATCGAGCCCGAGCTTGGCTCGTTAAGGCCTCGAGCTCGAGCCTTAACGAGCCGATCTCGAGCTTTAACGAGTCGAGTTATAAAAAATTACATAAATTTCACTTTTCAAGCCTTAACGAGCCTTATCGAGCTTTAAATGAGCTTGAGCTCGGCTCATTAAGACTTCAAACTCGAGCCGAACCGAGCCTTAACGAGCCGAGCTCGACCCGAGCTGAACCAGACTCGTTTAATTTAACAGCACTACTCACATTAGAAATTTTTCATCATAAATTTCACCGACAATATTATTTAATTACTCATGTTTTTTTTATTAATACATATTATTTTTGAAAATTTCATACTACACAATCTTGTGAATTTTTGTTAAATTTTCATACCTTTTTACAGTTTGGAAAGCATCAAATTTGTATGGACTATTTAAATCATTTTGTCAAATAAAATTTGGAAATTTTTGACTACACAATAGTGTAAAATTTAGTTAACTTTTCAGAAAATACACATAATTGGTTGTCGAAATTTATCTAACTAATAATTATCTCCATTATTTTTGTTACATTAACAATCGTAAACGATTAACTGATTTAAATAAATCAAACACAATATTTTGAGTTAATATCTTCTACCACAAAATTCATCGATAGTACTATCTAATTACTAATTTCATTTTTTCGCTTAACATATTTAATAATGTCATAAAATCACAAACACACTCACATGATTTTTATTATTATGAGATAGGACACATTCTAAAAATGAATAGAATGCATATACGCCACAATATTTATTTTGAATTTGTTTAAATATTTATAAATTAATTATATAATTAAATAATATTAATGTATATTAAATATTTATCATTATATAGATATATCTGTACTTATATATATAAAGAATTCTACTTTTATAAATATTATAAATAATAATAATAATAGTGACATTATACGACAATTATTTTATTTTTAAAAAATAATAATTGAGTATTATGTTGAACAAAATTAAGTATAATTATTATTTTTCAATATCAAACAATAAATATAAATGTTAAAAAAATTATTTATTAATATAAACGGTTAACAAGAAAATATATTGTATATAAGTTTAAACAAAGATTTTAAGAAATAAGTACGTTGTGCATGGCATGAGATACTCACTAGTCAAGAGAACTCAACGCGTTTTTTAAAATACAACAAAAATGTAAAATCAAAATTTACCCAATTTTAAACCATTTGTAAGTATTGGTTGTTCAATAAGAAAGGTGTTTTCTCAATTGCTAGCACTTACTCCTTCTTGTCTAATCAAAAGCTGCTTGCTATGGACTTACCTGGTTGTAGCTCAATTGCTGGCACTTCTCTTACCAAAATAAGCAGGGAATCTGGACAATTAAGGTGGCCAATAAAGTAAAGCTTTTTATATGGAAGTGTATTTCTGAAGCTCTCCCAGATAAAGTTAATCTCAACAAGAAAGGCCTGAAAGTGGATGCAATTTGTAACATTTGTTGTGAGGAACCAGAATCCATTCATGTTTTGTTCTCCTGTTCTAGAGCTGCAAATATGTGGAAGCTTTCTCAAGTGTCTTGGAGCAAAGTACCTGATCAGAACCTCTCCTTCAGAAGCTGGTGGCATGATATCTGTTCTCTAGATGCATCAGAAACGTCAGAGGCTCGTATTCAACTGACAACCTACATTATCTGGTGGCTCTGGAAGTCTCAGAACCTCTGCATTTTCCAAGATGCTCTTATGCATATCGCAGTCACCCTAAAGATTGCTCACTAAGATTGGTTGTCTTTTGCTGATTTGTAGCTTGTTGTTCTGTTTGTTCTCTTTTGTCCTATTTTTTTTTCTCTCTTAGTTTGTTTTCTAGTTTTGGTTTCTGCTTCTTGGTGGTTTCTTCTCTAGGCCCTTGAGCACTGGAGTTATCTTTTTTTGTTGGTTTCTAGTAGTAGGTTGGTTGAGGTTCTAGGCCGCTTGATGCATGTCCTTTCATTTTTCTGTTTTCCGTTTGTATTGCTCGAACTTGATTCGTTTTTGAGTTATAATATCTTTATCGTTTCGTTAAAAAAAAAAAAAAACCATTTGTAAGTGGTAACGCGGTCCCTCTCTAAAATTCGGTTTTCCCTCTCATCTCCCCAAATGTTTCCCTCCTTTTTTTTTTGCCCCTTTCACAACGCTCCATAAAGTCCAAAAATACACATTGCTGCTGTGCCTCCCATTTTCAAGCTTCATTCAGATTTCGTTCTCTTATCCCAACTCTTTTCCTTTTCCCTCCATTTCCAGATTTGTTGATAACCCTAACATCTCTTCCCCGCAAAACCCAGATCTCAGTCGAAACCCTAGGCGACGAGCATCGGTAGCCATGAATTCCGACGACTTGCCGACGTGCCGTGAGGATCAGTTACTTGAATCGAACAAAGTTGGTGATGAAGAAGAATATGATGCAGCTCCGATCCTAGAAGGCGGTAGTGAGGCCGAAGGAGCTAAAGCCAGGGACGATGACGAGCTCCTATACACGAGGAGCGCCGAGAGGAATTGTTCTGAACAGTCTTCTCACTGGCCTGCACCGAGACCATGGGGATTTGCCGGGAATCCTTATTTTTCGAGCTGGCCAAACCGCCACGACAGGCCTGCTGCAATTGTGGTAAGAACTGTCGATTCATTTGATTTTTGGTTCGTTTGTTTGTTTGTCGTTTCAGTTTCAAATTTTAGTTTGTATTATGTAGATTTTTAATGATAAGGAAATTATTTGGCAGGGAGCAGGACTAGAAAACTTGGGCAATACTTGCTTCTTGAATGCAGTGATGCAGTGTTTTATCCACACGGTTCCACTTCTACATGGCATTCTTTCGAACAAACATTCTGATTGTAAGTAAATCTATGTTGGTTTTGTTTACTAGGGCTGTTGTTGAGCTTATTTATGTCCCTTCAAAACTTATATTAGATAATCACTTTGTTTGGGTAGTGAATTGTTGACTACAACTGCATTATCTCTCAGGCGATAAAGAAAGCTTTTGCTTAGTTTGTGCTATGCGGTGGCTCATTAACCATTCATTGACTACGAGAACTGGACCTGTTGCGCCTCTTCGTCTTGTGGACAATTTGAGTTGTATCCTCCATTGAATCTCAGTTAAATTATTGCTGCTATTGTAATAAATAGTCCCCTTTTTTTTATACTTGTTGGTGAATTTTACCTTAAACTATGACCTCTCTCATTCCGGATCAACAGGAAAATGAATTTGGTTTGGATGTCTGAGCCAGACTGCTTAGTTTTATATTGAAATTATCAAGAATTATTTTGTTTCTTCGTAGTTCCTTAACTATGTAAAACTACCAGATTTTTCGTTAGGCTTCAAAAGATTCCAACAGGAAGATGCTCACGAATTCCTTCAGTGTTTTCTGGATAGGCTTGAAAGCTGTAATGAGTCTTTACAAAGTGATAACATAGTGACTCAAATATTTGGTGGTCGTCTTGTCAGCAAAGTAAGATCTCAATTGTTAAATCTCTATTTCTCTTTATACTTTGTATGTATAGTGCACAACATCCCATAACATTCTCTTTATTTTGCATTAATTTTGCAGCTGAAATGTTGTAGCTGTGGCCACTGTTCTGATACTTATGAGTCATCAATTGACCTGAGTTTGGAAATTGAAGATGCTGACAACCTATTGACTGCTCTTCAGTCGTTTACAAAGGTTGAAAAAATTGAGGATCCAGATACGAAGTTTACCTGTGAAAAGTGTAAGGAGCAAGTATCCATAGAAAAGCAACTTTCCTTTGACCAGGCCCCAACTGTAGCCCTTTTCCAGTTGAAGAGATTCAAAAATGATGGTTGTTTGGTCCACAAAATTGATAAACATGTGGCATTTCCGTTAGTCATGAACTTGCAGCCATTCACGTCGGGCGGCAATAACAGTACTGTGAGTTCCTGTTGGTGCTTACCCTTCTCCAAACATGCCAAAAATTTGTATGCTAATATGGTGTGTGAATAGTGGATTATGTATGAACTTATCAACAAAATGTAGTTGTCTGATGATAAAAAAATCTTTTTTTTTTTCTTTTTTTTTTTGGTAGAAATACCTTTTAAGACATAGCATGTTGTGACTGTTTTAGAAAGTGGATATGGTTTCAATGTCTAATTGCGGTGTGGATACAATCTTGTGATTCTCGGGCTTTCTTCTATATTAGATGTTGTTTAGTAATCTGAATCTGATCTAGTCTTACCTTTGGTTATGGACATTGCAGGTGGAACTTAAGTATGTGCTTTATGCTGTTGTGGTGCATGTTGGAATGACATCAACATCTGGGCACTATTATAGCTTCATTCGCTTATCTCCCGAAATGTGGTGCAAGTTTGATGATTCTAGGGTAATATGCATGCTCAAACTCTTCCAAATAGTATTGATTTTTTGTAGCTAATGCCCGATGGTCTTTGAATGCTGATTGTGAGATGATGTACTGATGTTGATGTTTGGCCTTTTCAAATGCATAGGTTGAGCTGGTTTCTGAAGATTATGTGCTATCTCAGGAAGCATACATTCTGTATTATGCAAAAGAGGATACACCCTGGTTTTCAAATTTTGTTGAAACTCAAGAATACTTTAGCCTAGATTCAAAAGCATGGGATGCATCACCCAAATCAGTCTTAGATAGAGTACACACTTCGCCACTGTCTCCTATTTTGGAAAATAAGTCTAGCCGTGATTGTCGTGAAGCTAGTCATGATATTGGTTCAGAACTAAGTGAAGTTGACCGTAGCAATGAGATGAAAGATGGTGGAAAATTGCATGAAAACTTGAAGACCAATGAAAATACAGACGACAATCCTCACGAGAAGACTACTTTTGTAGCACAGCCCTGTGCAGGGCCTTCTCTAGGCAAACCCTCACCCGAAGCCCAAAAAGAGGTATCAAACACATATTGTGAAAAGCTAAACAGACCTAGTGAAGAAGAAGCTAATGGGACTGCATCTAATCATATCAACACTCCTGAATATCATTCGAGATCGCCTAGTCCAGAGATATACAGAGAGGACCCTCCTGGTAAATTTAGTAAAAATAATATCTGAACTCGAATTATGTTGTGAATATTTATTATTTCTATTTGAATAATGAAACTCAGGCATTTGATTTTCCAGATGCAGGTTTCATGATTCCACGTGGCCATCTGAAAACGGTAGCTTGCAAAAGGCGGCTTGAGAAAGATATGGATGATTTGGAAACAAAGCAAGCTTACTCGTTTATAAGGAAGAGCATGCCTGGTTCGAGAGGGCTGCAAATGATGGCTGCTCTAAAGGGGTCCAAATTCGAAGCTCCTGCAAATAGGAAAAGGAGTAGAAAATCGGGAAAAGGTGATTCGAGCATCAGACCTGTGGCCCGTCCTTTGATGGCCGGGACTCGCAGGTAATTTCGGATTTCCAGAAGTCAAAGGTTCAAAATGAGTTGTCTTTCTTAGAGTGAGTTTATGTTTGGATCTTATTTTCTTCACATGATCTTTTGTATCTTTCCTTGCTAACTAGACAGTGATATTCATCAAAGAACTTCGAGAGGCCTATCTTTGAGCAACTTGGATGTGTAAATTATCACTCTTGATTTCTAATGTTTTGTTGATCTGAGTGTTGTGAGGACTGGTGTTATATGGTTATATATTTGATGTATTCAGTGCAGAGTAAGCTTTTGATATCGTATGAATATCATATAATCCATATATGTTATTTGTGTTATCATTACATACTTGCTAAATTGAATTTGGGCCTTTGAGGCCGGTTCATTATTTATGCCAATAGCAACCCATTTAATAACACATTGGCGCGCTTAAAGTTACCAAAGAATAATAAGTCAAATTTGACATTTCCAACGTATAGTTATCATTATCTCGTCCTTTGGCTCAAAGAAAGGATGCTTCTACACTCTAACACAAAAATATTTGGATAAAAGAATGGTTCAAAGAGACGAGTTTGGCCAGTGGCGTGGGGGGTTTCATAATGAAAATCGGGGTTTGCTCGATAATAGGGCTGTAAACGAGCTGAGCCGAGCTCTAGCTTAAGGTGTTTGAGCTCGAGCTCGAGCTCTTAACGAGCCAAGTCGAGCTCGGCTCGTTAAGTAAATGAGCCAAAAATCGAGGTCGAGCTCGGCTCGTTAAGACCTCGAGCTCGAGCCTTAACGAGCCGATCTCGAGCTTCAACGAGTCGAACTATAAAAAAATTACATAAATTTCACTTTTCGAGCCTTAACGAGCCTTATCGAGTCGAACTGAGCTCAGCTCGTTAATCGAACGAGCTTTAAATGAGCTCGAGCTCGCCTCGTTAAGGCTTCGAACTCGAGCCGAGCCGAGCCGAGCTCGAGCCTAGCCGAGCCAGACTCGTTTAATTTAACAGCACTACTCGATAATGGCCGCGGAGCTATGGTGTTTATTTCAGGGTCTTGCATTGGCTTGGGACATAGAATTTCGACAAGTGGAAGCAGAAGTCGACTATGAGAGTGTTGTGTGTTTCTCCAGAACTCTTGACAATGTGCTAGAGGTGCACTCGGGCCTGGTGTTGGGAATCAAATAATTATTGGGTCGTCCTTGGCACGTGAAGTTGACTCATGTCTTCCGTGAAGTGAATTTTGCAACTGATCATTTAACTTCCTTGCGAATCGTTCGTTGGGATACTATATTTTACATGTCATGCTAGGGGTCCTCCAATGGCTCTACCATGATCTTATTTGCGTAGCTTATCTGCGGCAGTGTGCAACTTCACCCGATAAGCGTTGGCTTCTTCTTTGTACAAAAAATAATAATAATAAAAAAAAAATCATATCATCAATGGCGACTAACAAAGGAAAGAGCCTGTCGTTATTTTATGACGTTCATTGGTTCACATAAATTATACAAAAATGTATAGTAGGATGATGGAATGGATTATGTGTTTATTTATTTATTATTATCTGTTAGATGAGGTGAGATGAAATAGATCAATAATTGAAGACTTAATTAAAACTAGAAATTTGATAAACAGTATATTAACGATGGAAAATTATTAACTAATTCAAAGTTGGATATGCTTTATAAATAATTAATAAGTTAGAGCAATTACATTTTTTTTCAATATAATGAGACGGTAGAGTCAACTATATTAGGTCAACTCTGGCGTACCTGACTGTCCGTTTGATTGATTTATTTATTTATTTTTTATCTTCCATCTTTCTTTTGGGTATGTTTGGTGATTTTATTTTATTTGGATTGATTTTGGAGTGGGAGTGAAGGAAAAATGGTAAATATTGTTTGGTTAGAAAAAATGAAGGGAAACAAATAGGGGAAATTTTATTTATACTACATGATTTAGAAAAAATTATAATTCTACCATGGGTCAAATTTTATTTGCAAGTTTACCAAATTCATGTTAATTAATTATACATTTACACTACAACAAAATATTTTCAGTTACCATATTTAGTGTAACCACCTCCTCAAATGATGGGATTTTCAGTTACGGGTATATTGCGTGTCAATTTCTTTCCATCCCAATTCCACGCAGTATATA